CGACTGTTCAGAAGTGACAACATAACATAACTAGGCCAAATGGCCAAACTAGGCAAATTTTTCTGAAAAAAAGGCCTTGAATTCACTAATAATTTTTTTCAGTTTTTTCCTTGGTGAAAAACAGGCCATTTGACTATCAATTTTATCATGCAGCTGCTCTGAAAAGGGGCAATGAATCCCTTGTATTCCTTATTGTTGTTTTGCCTTTGGTTCAAAACAAACCATTCAACAAACAATCAAATAATAAAACAAGTATTGATTCTTCACTCAGACTCTCAAGTTGTTTTTCAGACCTTGGTCATTATCACATATCTAGGGCCTGAAATACAACGCAATCAAGTTGTATCAAGCCAATAAATCCAACTTAGGATATACCTAGTAGTAACAATCAAATAAACAGGTATAAAAAATTCAAATAATATCAGAGTTAATATCAATGTAAAAGGAACAGTTATTGTAGCATACATCCACCCACATAACTGCCTACAGGAACTGTCTCTTAGAAATTGACCACAAAAGATATAACTATCTACATGCATACATGAAATAAAAAATAAAAGGTCAGTTAGTATCTAGGGTCTCACACTACATTATTAACATGGTATCAAATAGTTAATGCTCTCACTTCAGTACTTATGTCACGGAAGTCAACTTCTCAGTTAACACCTAAAGAAAACTGTTTTTTAATATCGAAGTGACTGTAGCATCCACTATTCTATCCTGGCCACAAGCCATAGGCACACCTTTTAATGTCTGATACAGTGGTAGTCAAATCAATTACTTACTTTCATTTCGCTTTGGCAATTCACAGTAAGCAAAATTTAATTATAAAATTAATTTAAAAAATGATAAAAAATAAGCCAATGAAATAAAACAATGATTTTAATGTCGCTTCTAAGATATAAATAATTTCATTTTCATTCTTAAACTCAATCATGGCTCTTTAACCGTCAGACAAGCTGTTGTTTTACAAATAATCAATGTTGTGAATCAATGTTCTGTAATGAAATGATGCATAAACAACCTGTTCATCTAACTGTTATAAACATTTAATAGTGCTGCAACAGAAGCCTTTCATTATAAAGTCCATCAATTTTTGCTCTAGGTAGAAACACAAGTTAAAATCTGATCTGTACTTACCTCACCCCTCATATTTCTAGTCCAAGTAAGTGCTGCAATTTATGTGGGACAGACTGCTCAAAGGCAAAATAATTAGACTAATTCACTTTCTCCTCTTGTTCACTTAATAACTGTGATAAAATTTTCATGTCCTGTGCATTAGAAACTATGTTCACACGGGTAAAATTAGAACAGTTTCTGATTTGGTCTATTCTGAGTCATTGTTAAAAATGTGTTTATCTGTTTGAAGCTGTTCTGGCCTACATGTTAACAAACTTCCATACAAAATTTTCAAACCTTTTATCTCTTTTTCTCTTGGATGACTCTTTGAAAATCTAGCCCAGAAGCAGACTTTTTTGACTAATAGTAATAGTACCATAAAAACATTCATAAACTAGTATATCTTTCTAACCATATTGAAAGAAAACTTCTGACACCTGCATCAGTTACCAGTATTGTGCAAGAATAATTGAAATAATCACCCATGATATAAATTTTCCTGTCAATTTTGACAGTTAAAGTGAAATAATTTATACTGAAATGGAAATAATGATTCAAAGAATAATCACTCTCACACGTATGCCCCTATACGTTTAATTACTGATCGGCACATATAACAGGTCTGTAGCCAGTGATTTCAAAGAGGAGCAGATGAGTATTTTTTTTATCAAGAAACCTATCCTAGAGTTCATACCAAATTTAGATTAAGAGCAGACCTTTTCCTGTCCAAAGTGGTGGCTAGTTCACCCCCTGACCCCCCCCCCCCCCCATGTCTGTGCAGGAGCCATATCAAAATTAAATCTCTGACAGATATTTCTATCTTCAAATTGCTTCAAAAGTCTTTGCTCCTTAAAATGGCCGTAATATTATATCAGTCAATGGCACAGTTTTAAAAAACCTAGATATATCAAATGAAAAAAATTATTTCAAGTTATCTCCTACCCTATCCCCTTGAGATATAGTTCATAAACAAAACTGCACTTACATGCAGCTGAGTGAAGTCCTTACCTCTGGAAGTGGAAGCTGAATTGCAATCTCCCTATCATGCCTGGATGATGTGACGGTTTAACACAATCAGGTAAGATTACATAGAAATACAAACAGAAGGGAGAGGTATGGATTGTAATTAATCTTCCTCTTCCAAATGTCATTGAAAACCAATCCAAGTGTGACTTTAAAAAATCCCCATTCATCACTCACTGTGAAGAGTACCAGTAGGGCATGCAGATGCTTGAAACACAGCCTGCCTCCAATCTGTAGCCTATCTAACATTGATATCTACACACCTACAAATAGACCTTCATGTTTCTAATAACAATACTGGTGATTATGACAAGCCATAAGCTGTGAAACCCTGAAGTGAAGCACTACTATGTTTTCTCAGTACATCATCTTATATATCACACTTTAGGAAGATAAAGTACCCTGGAGAGAACATAATGTGGCCCTTGGGACAATGTGACTTTCTTTACTTTTGTGTGAACTTAGCTTTTGTTGCGTAAATACATAAATAAATAAAATAAATATATTAATTAATTAATTAATTAAAATAAAACTTACTTTTTCGGCACCCTCTGTATTTTCCTACATTCTACTATCTGTTGAAAAAACACAGAACAGGAACAAAGCAAAAAGTAGAATTTTAAGCAGAGACTGCTATTTTACATTTTACTGCTTTCCTCAGGTAAAAACTACCCAGGAAAAGAGGAAAGAAACTCTACAATATATCCTATAAGTAATTTCTTGCTGTGACGCAAATCATACGTAATTTCTATTTATGTTACTGACATGCTACAGAGCAATGACCGTCAGTCACTTAGCTACCATTTAAAATGAGTTTTGCGGACCTATAGTTAATGCGCACCAACTCCACAGGACTCTCGGTGAATGTAATCAGATTAAAAGACTAACACGCCTGTTTCCAATGTTCTCGCATAATCACCAGCTTTTCTGCATTCTACTCAATCCCAGGTGAGTTGAACTGTTAAATCTGACTGCATTCAGTGAGAGCTCTCGTGAACGCTGCTTCAACTGTTGAAGTCATAATTGTGTTAGTTGTGACAATGCTAAGACTGCATTATTTCCAGCACACAATACAAAAGATGGACAGGTGTGATTTGACTCGAAATATTTAAATCTTACATACGCCATAAAAACAGTGTCAGACATTTAGATCAAATAGTCAAAACCCATTTATAATTAGGCTTCAGTAATTTAGATTTGTGAAAGATGGTATTGTCTGGGCTAACCTCTTGTTGGAAAGTGTTTGCTTAAAACTTGAAAGTTCTACTTAGATAATGTGTTCTAGACACCTTTAAAATGCTTCAGTAGTTTCTTTAGACCACCTGGTATCAAATGATCTCTGATTACAAGTTATTTCTTGGAAACAATCTCCTATCACATTCTTACGATGATAAATATCTTTCAATTTTTCTTTCAATTTTTTTTTCAGTCCTTGTCACACAATGAAGATACAAAGCTTATACCTTTGAAGCTAGATAATTGGGAAATCTATAATTGTTGGTACATATGAACTATGTAACATTATTGAATCATTTGAATGCATGATATTAGAACCAGAAAAGGGCACTTTGCTCTTCAAGGGATAAGTTTTACGTGACTGATTTCACCAGGGATGTGTCCTATAGGAAGTTCACCATCATTGTAAAAACAATTAGCTCTGAGATTTTGCAGTCATTGTGAGGGAATTTCTAAAGCACAGAACGAGAATACCGCCGAGGCTTAAAAAAAAAAATGGTTTTGTAACCAAGTGGATTTTAAGATGGTAACTATCCAAGGCTTTACCTCCTATCAAGATGCGTTTGAATTTTATGCATCTAGCTAACTGGCAGACAGACACACAGACAAACCTATGTCTTATCCAGGTGGATAATAAGAAGACCAATTAGTATTTGCAATGACACGTGAAAGCTAATAGGTTGAAAACAAGGCCACTCGACAAAGCCAGTCACAATAGACTGACAACAACAATTTTTTTTCATGAGCAAGAAATGAAAAAAAAAAAAAGTATAATTTTAGGTTGTCACATGCACTCTATTATTGTTTAAGTGGTGGTGGAATTATAGTTTCCACTTACCAAAAGACATTATTGTACCTTTAGGCTATGAAATATCATATATATTGTATGTAAATGGATCATTTTCTGATCTGCAAGTCTATTTGATCACTAAGACCTGACATTATCGCATTTAGCTGTGGTTCGAACAACATATTCCCATAACAATATTTGATAATGTCAATTCATTGGGTACCTTATAATGTGGGGTTCATTAACTTTCAAGGGTGCATGTTAATGGGCAATGGTAATTGAAAAGGAATTAAGTATTATGAATTGTGTACTCATATATATTTCTTTGAAAAACAAATATTTTGTTTTAAATGACTTAATTACTGCTGGAAATGAGGATAAGGGAAAAAAACGTAAAATCTACACAAACTGTCTTGCAGATTGCTAGTTTCATTTATTAATTATTACTTTATCAATTAATATTATGGACACAATGTTGATCAAAATGTTCTTATCATTGCCACCTTACCATAACTTTCAGATCTAATTCCACAACCGAATACCTTACACCTGAGAATTCTTTCCCTTTTGAAGCAAATTAATTTCTGGTTAGACGCCATGGTACTGTTGATGGTTTCAGCCACATTCCACACCCCCAAGTGACCACAAGGTGAACTTCCTATCACAATTCTAACTCTCCTTGACCTTATGTTTGAAACAAGACAAATATTAAGTCATAATTGATTTATATATTCAATTAGAAAATCCTAATTTTATGTCTCCCGAGTTTCCTTAGATCTTTCCTGAAAACATTTATTGACTCCTGCAATAATTCTCAAGTTTAGTTTTTATAGTTTTTTCCATGCAATTCTGATATTGCTTAGCAATTATCTTAATCCCATCTTCTTAACTGCCTAATAGAACGATGCCATGCAATATGAGTATTTTAGAAGGGATAAATTCACACTCGTTCAAACAGCTGGCCCTTCAATCCTTTGTTCCAGCTCCATCTTTTTATAACATCTGCAGCTTTCCCATAATCTATCACAGTACAATAATTCGCATAATTTGTTGTGCTCAAATTGGCATTACCCATTCACATAGTGTAATGAGCAAAAGTCTGCAATATCCTTTTTTAATTACTGCTCAACATCTGCAAGAAGGAACTATTTATTGTCTGAAATCCTGATTCTTATGTTCCCTGGATTAATAAGAGCTAAAATACTGTTCTATTTCATGATTACATGTCTCAATACTAGCACTAAAAATAAAAGATGCTGATATAAATTTTATCATAACCTGCACCTTTAATTTCCAAATATTTAAAAGATATTTTTATGATGTTTTAAACACAAACCTGGTACTGTCTGCATTTCCAGTTTCATAAAAGAAACTTAAGGTTTTCAACAGTAAAGAAAGAGATAGAGTAAGAAATATGAAAAAAAACTGGATGAAACTAAAAGGAGAGAGAGAGAGAGAGAGAGAGAACAAGAGGAACCCATTTATGTGGAAACAATGGATGAGTAAAAGATACTACCAAATATAACTAGTAATAAGTGGAAGACAGAACAAAGATATCTTATTCAAAAGTGTTCTCCCAACTACAATTTACCTGGTCACTTGTTACCATTGTAACTAAACACATATTAGATATCTTAGTTAACAGACCATATTCTATCTATCACAATCTCTGATGAACCTCAAATTGAGAGCATTTTTCCCTACAACCAAACTACAAAGTTTGAAGTATTCACAATATTTTTCATTGTTTTTTCATTAAAATTATAACTTTTTTAAAAACATTGCATAAAAACTTTTTCCAACTACGCAAAATTTAATTATTTAGTACCTTAATACATAACTGAAGCCCACAACTTACCTGGTTGATTAAATGGCTTCTCAGGTGGTTAAATGTTCAGGTTCAACATGTATAGACCTACGCAATGTTTTCATGCATTGACAACAGTCTAGACCCAAAGCAGCCTGGGTTAAAATTGCTCCTACACATACCATTTTAATGTGATGACATTATTGAGCTATCAATCACTTAGCTTATTGTCATAGAAATAAATCAGTCTCTAATATAATCAGAACTCAAGAGTCATGGAGTGGCTATTGCACTTGCATAACCTCACAAAATTAACACATGCTTCAGCAATCGCTGATAATAGTTTAAGGAGGGTTTATGAAACATTTCCTAGAAATTGGTTTATTTTGAGGACACCACTCCTATGTCTGACATTCAATTTTGCGTGTTCTCTTTGTGGGTCAAAACAGTGCTTAGAAAACCTCTAATTGCATTCCAGACAAATGGTTCTCCTACATAAGTGACAAGTGGGGGCCATTCAGAATAGACGATCCGAGTACTAACTCATCTTCTGACTAAATATGGCAGACCCCACTTCAAAAGCGTTGCTGCTAATTCCATGAAGGCCTTCCCGCCTCCACATGCGCTGTAGCTGAAGGGGCCTGGCAATTAAACCTTGGAGCCAAGATTCAATCCGTTTCATAGCGTGTGAGGAGGGGGGGGGGGAGGAGACCATTGGGAATCAGCGGCATTGCTTTTGAAGTGTGTTCGACCATATTAAGTCAGCAGATCAGTTAGTACTCAGATCACCTATTCTGAATGGCCCCCATACCCTTGCTTTGTTAACAACCTGACATTGGTTTTATGTGGCTGACAAGCTGACAGTATTATTTCTTTGGTGACAACCAGACATTGGTCTTTCTTTGATAACAACCTGACAGTGGTTTTATGTGGCTGACAACCTGACAATATTATTTCTTTGGTGACAACCTGACAGTGGTTTTATGTGGCTGACAACCTGACTTTAGTGACAACCTGGCATTTACCTTACTTGACAGCATAAAATTCTTCTTACTTGTTATGGGTGACCACTCGAAGGGGTTCTCACGCCATTTTTCCTGTCTGGTTGACAACATGACAGCTCTTACTTCTGGGTATCATCCAGACAAGGTTCTTGCTATTCAATAACAAAAATTATTAACCCCATAGCACAATTTCCCAATATTCCTACTTTCTGAGTTCTGAATCCTTGAAGATGAGACAAAAGTACACAGAACAAAGACAAATAGCTGGCAATACTTAATTGGTACAAGGCATTGCAATCAATCTTCAATCAATCATGGAGAAACGGTCTTCCTTTGATGCTTTTTATGTGTAATATCATGAAAGCATACAAGTTGCATCACAGCATAGGTCAACAACCCTCAGTCTTTACCTACAATTTATTCACATGGGCAAAATTTTTTTTTTAAAG